AAAAAAATTGGACCGAGGAGCTTTTAAGCTTAAAAAAAACAAAGACGACAGTACGAAGTCAAGGTAAGTTTGAAAAATACCTGAAGCAACAATAAAAAAAATGCGCGCAGCAAAAAGAAATGGTTCGGAGATTAAAAACATAATTAAAAACATAAAAATTTCAGAGGTTTTAGGAAAATTTTATTTAGGAAAACACTCCCCTAGAACCGAATTTGAACGGACAAATGATTTAATTTTTTAAAATTAAATTGTTTTTATATTTAGTTTTTTGTCTTTTTGCACATTTGTGTAAGTTGCATGTTTGATTTCTTTTGTTGAGCTGCTCCAATAAGCTGATTGAATACTTCTCTGATGGAGGCCAAAAAACTTGAATAGAGCCTATGACACTCATTTTTTCGATATAAGTAATGATGTTCACCTAATCTTTGCAGATAAAAACTGCACTTCTTCAAGAAACACAATGAGTGGTATATCGACACGCAAAAACCAGTTATGTTTTTCGTATAACTCATAGGAAAAAAAACGAAAAGGGATTTTCATTGGATCAGAAAGGAAGGTTTGAAGAAGGTTTGAAGAACTTAAGTCGCGACAAGTTAAAACATTTTAAAATTTTTCACTTTCCTTAGAATTCTTTTGGAAACAATTGAGTGAAAACAATTAGATAGTCAAGTTCATTCAATTTTCATAGAAAAATAGACATGATAGCTTTTTACATCAGCCATCAAGCCATCATAATCACCCTAGCCATCAATAAAATAACCAATTATCTTCAACGAATCAGGTTAGAAATTGAAGTTTTTGTTATTTGCGAACACTTCGCTGACACGATAGTTTGCGCAGAATTCAGTTTCTGGATAAAACATAGAAACTTCTGATTTTTTGCGAATAGCCTTTTCTTTGCAGTACTTGGCAATTTTTTGATCCTTTCCATTGCAAATTAAGATAAACCATACAATGAAGTTGATTAAAAAAATCGCCATTTGACAGAACAACAATCGAATAAAATCATTTATTTAGCATTTAGAAAAAAAATTACTAAATGAAAATCTTGACCAAAAGATGAACTAACTAGAATTACATTGAGCTGACAACTTTTCAAAGAACATTAAGAATTGTGAGTAGAGACACAATAATTTTGGTTTACTATGAATTTTTCCTACAAATCATTAGAACGGCAATAAAAATTGAAAGGTCTTATAAAAAAACTTTCAGTATTTGAACGAACTTTCATAAATGGCACTGAAGATGACTCATACTGCCTTCTCAATTTTTTAGAAATCCCAGAGTTGTTATTTTTTCTTTTTTTGTCTGATCAGTTTTTATTAAGATATCTACTCAAGAAAAGACTCAATTCCAAATGATTTTGAATTTTCAAAAAATCAAACAAAAAATGAAAGATTTGTTTAGCTCTAAAAACCTTGCATTGAAAAAATTTAAACTGAAACCTGCTTCCATCTATTCAAGTTAAAGGCATAAGGGCAAAATCAATAAGCAACAGCAAACATACTTTGCGGAAAAGAAAGGAGAAGCATCAAAAGATGATCCTATTGAAACCAAATAAAAATTATTCAAGAAACACAATGAATTGTATTTAGGCACGCAAAAACTAGTTTATTTGTTTTTTTTTCATAAACTCATAAAAAAAAACAAATAAGATTTTTTCATTGGACTCAGAAAAGAAGATTTGAAAAACTTGACATATACCAAAGCATTTTTCAAAAATCTTTTAATGTTGAAAAAACTAAAACCTTTTTTGCTTTTTTTAAAATAAAATATTGACAAATTAAAGACATTTTTCCATCTTGTCAAAAAAAACGAATTGAGTATCGCAACAGTTCGAGAGAATTATAAATCTACCAGACATTTTTTGTTTTTTAATTCCATTTTCGTAAACTAAATTAAGATTTTTGTTTTTGTCATTGAGATGCCGTCAATGAACCGCAACGAGGGCTGCATGTCTCAAAAGTGGCACATAATACACAAGCGCAGAAGCATCAAGACATCGTAAGACTGTTGCATTTTAAAGGGTTCGAACTGTAAATTTTATACAATTAACTGCACGAACGTAAACTCCCATATAAAGAGAAAGCAATCCGGTTCTGTTTAGTCTTGTTGTCAAAGTTATAATAATAGTTTTTCTGGCAATCGAATATGCGTTGAGTAAGCTCCAAAAAAGATTGATACCTATCATGCAAAACTTTTTTTTTTAAATAACTCAAAAGAAGAGCATAGAAATCCTCGGGGGAAGTTAGCATACGTTTTGGGTTTTGAAAATGGATTACAATTATTGTGGAATATAAGACAAAAGAAGTTCATTTAAAATTGTCTAAAACTAAAAAATTATCAAACAAACACCACGCAATTACTTTTTTCAAATAAATGTTTTTAAAAATTTATCTATTGATGACAATTTTGTTGATTGATGGTAAAAATTATTGATGGTAAAACCAACGCAAAACGTTTGAATAAATGAGGAAAAAAACTTTGCATCAGAAGCATTCAAAATGTCTGAAATGGCCATTCAATAAATTGAAACTTCTACAAACAAGTAAGATAGAGGTATAGTAATGAAATTGGTGAAAATCATATTATTTTTTTGTTGTATTTCCAAACTTTATGTGGCTGAGTTTTTGAGGAAATTCGAACACATTAAAATCGACTAAAATTTTGAATACTTGCATCTGTGAGTACCTCAACCTAAATGATTAAAATCAAAAAATAGAAAAATGCTGTGGAATGAATGCTTCATCCTAATTGGTTGATGGCTTCAAAACGTTTTTAAAACTAGTGCTTTTATAGCAAGATATTTATGTGCTTTTGTTCAAAGGATTTGATTACTGGCAAAACCAACGCAATTAAAAATCGAGATCAAAGTTTCATGAAACTTTCAGTGGAGATTGATGCAAAAACATTCAACTTACAGTGGTGACTGCAATGGTTATGGTAACTCTTTTCTTTCATTTTTTGATAAAATCAAAAAGTATTACCTAATGAGTGGACGCAAATGCTTTACTTTTGTTGAAAAATTTGTTAAAACTTACACTTTTGAAACATCTACTAATTGAATGTTTTTGCTGCTCAATTATCGTCTTAAGTTTTTAAACTCAGTACCTATTAGAATGTTCGTGCAGTTGCGAGTATTTAAAGCAAACAAATTGACACTTCTGCATTTTGACTCACAATTAATTCTAGTTTCTCAAAAATTTTGGTAAATATTTCAAAATCTAATTTTTAACTGAAATAGAATTTTTCAAGATAAAACCAAACATGGTTTGATCTGAAATAACACTTCAAAAAAATAGAAATTGAGATTAAATTCAGATATATTTTTTTTCATAAGTTGTAAGCTGATTTTAGCAGAGAAAATTTCCTTATTCGAACTTTTTTGGATTAGAAAACGCTGTTGAATGATATATTTTTCCAGGCAAAAATCAAATTTTGAGTAAATTGGTAGATCGAACAGAAAACAAGAAAAACTTAATTCAAAGTTCGGGGAAAATAAATGAAAATTGTTTCGATTAATTGGGGAACTTGGGCACCAAAAATGTTGCCTGAAATTTGGTTACAAAATATAGCTTGAGCTAGAATCAAAAAGAAAACTCTCCAGTTTAGACAGTTATATGAAATCGACAGTAATTTTTTCTATCAATTGATGGATTATTAAAAAAATAAAAACTTCAGAGGATTTAGGGAGATTTTATATACAAAAAATCTGCCCTAGAGTGAAACTTGAACGGTAAAATGATTTAAGTTTTTTTAACACTAAACTGTTTTTATAGTTTGGACTTTCTTGCAAAAAGAAAAAGGAGCCACTAAGTCCAAAGATAACGGAAAATTTTTGAAGAAAGCTTTATTGAAAATGATGTCTGGCATGATGTTCTATTTGCGGAAAGCACGTCAAGAAACACTCAACGGCGTTCAAAAACAAGTTTAAAATTCAACATGTAAACCAATTATCAAGCGAAAATAAATGTAACGAAAAACTTTGAACTGTAAGTTCTATGCTGCGATTTTAACGTTTTTTTGCCATCCGGAGGAAAATATACGTATAATGGTTCACACGCGTCACTCACAATTAGGTGTGAGCCAATAAATTACAAAAAGAAATTATCTGGTCGGAAAATTTTTTTGAAGGAAAAGAAACGAAAACAAAATGTACGTAGTCAAGGCTAGTAGAATTAAAAAATGCGTGAAAAATTTGAAAACAGAATGCAATTACAATGAAAACTGCATATGGCAAAAATGACTGAGATTTGGCAACTAAGCCGACAAAACTTACGCAGACACATTATAATCCAATAAGCCAGTTTGAAATAAACCAAGTCCTGGTCAGATTCGAACTCTTTGGAAGGATCTTTTTTCGCCCAATCTCATTCGTTACCTCCAGACTAAAAGTACCGGAGATGCTTAGAACTTTGATTTCATTATGAACCAAGAGATTGTTACAATCGAAGTTTTCCCGATAACAGTCTTTATTCTGATTTGGTAACGCTTGCTAATCGGAAGCGTAATCACATCATGCTTAATAAAAACAACCTTAATTTGAAAAAAGAAAGCATATATTCGAACTAGAAAACTCGATAGCTTATTGAAAACTGCTCATTAAAAAAATTCTTGCTCAACTTTCGCGATCGCTCCCATCTAGTAATTTTTTAAAACAATGACACTCTAGGAACTGAAAAAAACCCTCGATCTAAAAATGCCTTTTACCAGATGTTCAGCTCGTAAGGAACTTTGTGGAAGATCGGTTAAAAACACATGAAATTTATGCAAAAAGCAATTCCGCAAAAGCTATTTTTTTGATAACTGAGCCAAGGAACACTTTGAAACGCAGAGCAGCAAAATCTTTCAAGCAAAAACGTTTCGAATATTGCCAACCATTTATGTTCAAACCTGCTAAGAACTGCTCACTTTTCCCAAATCTGTCCTACGAAACCTGGTCTAATGATATGGCCAAAAGAAATGATGATAACATAAATTATGCATTAATGCAGGAAAGATGGGATAGCGAATCTCTTGAAGGAGACAAGTTCATCAAAATGGTGTGATCATTCAATTTTTAATAAATTCAAAAGAAATGAATCAGACTTTTTCCATGCTGCAAATATCGAGCAACAGACAAACGATATTTCAGCCATTTTATCAAGTTTCTGCTAAATGAAAGCTTGTGAAAAAATCCCTACCTGCATTAATCAACTGAACAATTTAAAACAACGCCATCATAATTATCATTCAATCAATTCACAACATCTAATGGCTCGATAATTACATAAAACCATGAGTTCAAAAAATAGCAGTCCTTCTACCGTTTCAACAATGTTCATTGTCATGAAAATTTTTCAAATAATTGCCGTCTTTCCTTTTTTTATCATTCTCGTTATTTGTAGAAGTCCAGTTCCTGGTCGCCCTTCTTAGTGTTGTTCTTGTACCCCTTCTCGAAGTCCTTGGGCAACACAATGTATCTGTTCTCCCTTACTGCGTGCATGCCTGCCTCCTGACAGATGGCATTGATGTCAGCACCTAAAAGAGATAATTTTTATTTATAACCAAAGGAAACTTGCAAATAAATAAAACCAACAAATTCGGGCTGCTTTAGTATTAAATTATTATTCTCAAATTTCTATCAGCTGAACGTATAAAAAAAACAATATCCCAATGTATATTAAAACTAACTTCACATACATTATTTTGATTTCCATTAGAAAACTTCACTAGGCATGGGTGCATACTCTAAACAAACGATAATAAAAACGCTTATATATTGTCTAAATCTTCTACCTGTGATTTTGTCCGGTCGTGAGACATAGTCCTCAATGTCCACTTCATCTGACAGATTCATGCGATTGCAGATGGTGGAGAATATGAGTCTCTTCTGGCGTCTGTCCGGCAGGGGGAACTCTATCTTCCTGTCCAGTCTACCCGGACGAAGCAGGGCGGGGTCCAGAGTGTCCTGTCTGTTGGTGGCCATGATCACCTAATCGACCCAAGATTAATCACTATTATTACAGAAAATCTTTAGGCATTTTGGAACTTACTTCGTTGTACGAATTACATTGTACACGATTTTATATAACGTAACTATGTTTACATTGTGGTTAATACGTTACGTACTACGAATAGATTAGGGATAAGGCAGCGTTGTGTACGGGAACTTTTTTGACGGGGAAGGTTATGGAAAACTTTTGTCGATAACATTTTCTTGAGGTTATCCAGTTTCAAATTTTAGAGCACTGCTGGAACCTCAGATACGCAAACTTTCTTGAAAAGCAGCATTCATAAAAATTCGTTATACATAAAAAAATTAACCTAAGCTTTACTTAAGGGAAAACTAGTTTTGGAAGCTTCATTTAGTGTGCTCTGGCAAAAAAAAACTGAAAATTGAAAATTTGATTTTTTTGGTCCTTTTTTGACGACAATTGTAGTCGCTTATGCCTTGTTCAAGAAACTTCTACACCTTTGAAAAAACCTATCATCACATGACGCACAAGAAAAGACAGTAATTTGTATTTAAAAAAATCTTTGAATGTGGTCGGAACATTGTGCTACTTGCTTTAATTTATGCGCTGTCCTTCAGTTATGCAGAAGTGAATTATTAAGCTCTACTGCACCTTGACATTTGTGGTCTGGTCGAATCCGTCCATCTGGTTGAGCAGTTCCAGCAAAATCCGCTGCACTTCCCTGTCAGCTCCCGTCTGGGCATCGAACCTCTTGGTTGCAATAGCATCTATCTCGTCTGCAACGAATATTGCAACTTACGTTCAGGAAACTGAAGTCAATTTAAACTTCATTCTGTGTTATCAACCAATGTATTTTATCTCCAAAACGAATACCGAACAAAAATTTTGACGGCTATTTATAAACTGTATTCACTTTGACATGGTTTTTACAACCCTGGCTGGTCTGAGTATTTGTATTCTCTACTTGCCTATGAATATGATGGATGGTGAGTTCTCCTTTGCCAGTCGAAACACATCCCTCACCATCCTCGGCCCCTCCCCCAAGTACTTCTGCACGAACTCACTGCCCACCACTCGGATGAAGGAGGCAGTCGTGTGGTGGGCCACCGCCTTGGCCAACATCGTCTTACCACACCCTACAAACAAAACGTAACAGACAAACTTGAAACACTAAACACTCTACACTACACAATACAAACATACAAATATTTTTCCTTTAGCCCGCATTGAAGTTTCAGCAGTAAAATTTTTGTTTACACTCCTATTGTTATGAACATTGGTAGCTGAAAAATAAGGCCATGGCTCATAATAGGTCTTCAAATCCAACTTATTATAGCAATCGTTACATCATAAAAACTCATGCGAGTTGGGGGGATTATTGACTTGATAGACGAGAGACAGACAAAAATGAAAATCAAATACAACACAAAAAAACACTTCCGTAGAATTGTAGCGTCTCATTTTGGAACAGGTAGGCCATTTTTTTCTTATGAACTTATGACAAAAAAAAACAAATCTACGACATTCCACGATATTTAAAAACTTTTGTTGTTGTAATAACTGTCAAAGAATAGTTTGGAAATGAATTATTCATAATATGAAATTAGAATTCAATAAAGATAGTGGCACTTGCCTGGGGGTCCGAACATGAGCACCCCCCTGGGTGGGTCTATTCCTATCTGTTTGTAGAGGTCAAAGTGGGTCAGAGGGAGTTCCACTGCTTCCCTCATCTCCTGCTTCTGAGTGTCCATACCCCCTATGTCACTATAGTCCACGTCTGGCTTCTCATCCGCACTACAAATACAGACACGTTTATACAAAATCTAGTAGTAAACACAAAGAGTATCAAAAGTATCAGATAAGAATGTCAAAGAAAATGTCAATTCGAAAAAAGGACAGAAAACCATAAGAACAAGAATGCATTCAAAAATTGATATGAAAAAATCTCGAAACGAAATGGTCTCAGTTATTAAAACCAGATTGCGCAGAATGAGTTTGGTTTTTTACAAACCCAGTGTCTATCCCATATTTATATAGTTCCGCCAGATTTCCAGGCCAAAACATGCATAATCAGCTGTCTACCATTACAAACAACGAAGTGGAAAATCGGTAATAACATTAAAAATAACAACAACAAATACAAAGAATACATTACCTGAGCATGCTGATTGAGGAATCTGCCTCGGGGGGCAACACATCCACCAGCGCGTTGGAGTGTTTATGCAGAGCCACAGATGAGCCTGGCTTCAACAGCTCCCTGTCTATAGTTGACAGCAGTCTCACATAGTAGTTGGAGCCAGTGGTCGATCCCACAATGCCGTAGTTGGCGTCCACAGCCTCTAGGAACTGGCCAATCACCAGAGGCACACTCTGGATACGCTTCACCTGGAACATTGGCCAGAGATTAAATTAAAATACATTGAGCGCACCCTTCATGTTGTTCTTTGTTAGAAAGCATGAGTAGAAATTTAGACTACTTCACATTATTAGCTAAGATTATCCAGACAATATTATTCTAGAATACAACAATATTATTCTAGAATACAATATTCTAGCGCTCAACAAATTTCAAAACAAACAAAAGTAGCCGGTTTTTTGGCAAGAAGCTTATCAAACTACACGCAAAGCTACTATTTAGCATTGATTTTTGGAAAAAAAATTGAAAATTATATTTTATTATATATCTCTACTTTTTAGCACGGCGAAGAGAGTGAAGTCAAAAAGCGGCAAATTCAGACAAGTTTTTCTCTAAATTGCAGTTTTCATAGCAGCATTTTTCATCACGACTGAACGGGCTTCAGTACGATATATCAACCAATCCTCCACGAGGTTTTTTCCTGGTGAAAATGCCAATGGTTGCTTCAAATAGTGTTGATAAAATTAAGCTCAATGAAAAATCTCAATCAAAATAATATATATTTACAAATTTCATTAGAATAAAGTCAAGCTAATTTCGACCAGAGATGTATTTCAAAACTTCAGAGAGCATAGTTAATAGAAGCTGGAGAGCATAGGTTTTATTCTAATGTTCACCAAAGAATAATGTATCATCTGAATGGAGTGCGGTCTACTCGTCAGTACGCAGACAAATACTGTATTAACCAATCACAATCGAGATCGGAAAGCGACCTTTCGAAATAAATAATTAATTCTAGCGTGTAACGCACATACGGTGCTTCGAATTTTCAACAACTCAAAAAACTATTCTTTGAGTGAACTCTAACAGCACCCAATTACAGGATTCGTAATTACAAATTTTGCAATGTTTTTTATACAAATTTTGAAGAACCATAAAATTTTGTGAAGTTTTATATAACTTCTTCGAAAAATTTAAAATGAACAAAGAAACGTCACATCTGGGAAACTGAAAGCAATTGAGCAGTCGCATTTGGACGCAAGATTTGCAACTCCTGAGAGTACTCTTACAGTATCCAACTACAACGTTGGGAAAGTCAGATTTTGAGAAAGTTCACCTTAAGTTTTCTTAAAAAAAGGTATTCACATCTCGAAAACTACCAAAATTTGAGCAGTCTTTTTTGATGTCAATATTCGCAATCTTTGAAAGTACACAACTACATGGTTGGGAATTTCACTCCAAAAAAATCACAAAATCGTCGTATCTCTTAAGCAAAAATGATTTGGGCATTCTTAATTGGAGACCGAATTTGCAACCCCTTAGATTACTCTGACAGCCCCCCAACTACAGGTTAGGAAACTCAAACTTTGAAAAAAAAATTAACTTAATTTTCAGGAAAATTTTTTTGAAAAAATTACAAAAAACGTCATATCTGGAAAACTACAAGAATTTGAGCAGTCAACTTGTGAGGCAAAACTCGCAACTCCTGAGAGTACCCTGACAAAGCCTCATTACAAAGATGATAATTTCAAGTTTTGTGAAATTTTTTATACCTAAGTTTTCTGAAAAAAAATCCAAAAAAAACGTCATATCTCGAAAACTCCAAGAATTTGAGCAGCCAAAATCAGAGGCAAAATTTGCAACCCCTGAGAGTACCCTCACAGATTCCAATAACAAGATTGAGATCTTGAACGTTTTGGAAATTTTTAAAATCTAAGTTTTTGAAAATTTTTTGAAAAAATCATAAAAACGTCATATCTCGAAAACTACAAAGATTTGAAAAGTGAAAATTGAAAGCAAGATTTGTAACCCCTGAGAATACCTTGACAGCACCCAACTACAGGGTGAGAATATCAAAAATTGAGAATTTTTTTTAAATTAAATTTTCTAGAAACTTTTGAAAAATCTCGAAAATTGCCCATCTCGTAAACTAAAAGGATTTGGTTCTTCACATATGGAGGCCAGAATCGCAAAACCTGGCAAAACTCTGTTAATATCCTACTATTGGGTTGCTTATTTCAAATTTGATGAAATAAACGCTGAATTTAAACTGGAAAGACGGGAAAAAACCTTAACCATTGCAATATACGATATAGTTTAAACGTGATAAAATTCTTTTGTTAAACATGCAAAAATAATACGTTAAAAAGCTTAAACATGGTGAGATAGTGAAGCCCGCATTTTAATATATAATAATAGATAGATAGATAGATTTTATAATTTGTTCTTTGTCTCGATTCTGATTGGTTAGTGTTTGTCTATTTACTGACGAGTAGAAATACCCGGTTGTCTAAATACTGCTACGTAACCCATCTGAATATTGCACTACTTTGCACGTCTGAGTTGATTGTTGCTTAAGAATCTGCCTAATTCACTCTCAATCACAATTGTTGTCTTGCTCTTTTTATCAAACCAAGCACAGAAACGACACAATCGGTTATATAGGTTTCTTGTACAGCAACCGGCTGTCCTTGCTAAAGTGGCCAGTCAATAAGCAGAATGGTCTAAGAGCAGAATGGGTCCAGAAGCAAAAAAACATGAAAATATCAACTTTTTTTAAGCTAATCGGTAAATTAGTTAGCAGAAATGTCAATAATACCAAAGCAATCAATATTTTATGCATAATTTGAGAAACTTAATCAAGAATTTTAAAAAAAATTAATCAAAAAACAATGAAATTTGCCAACTCATGCATAATTTACTCGTTTTCTTGGTATTCTTTGACGATTCTAATAATCGTTTTTGTCATTTAGCCCGTATAAACCAATATAAGTCAATATTTTTCTGTTTTTCTGCTCTCAAACCCATTCTGCACTTGGACCTTTCTGCTTATTGCTCCGCCTCCTCTTCCTTAATAGTCTTTTGTTGCTAATTGCTCGTGAATTTATGGATCTTTTTTAATGGTAAAGCGAAATCTAAATGATTTAATTCGATCATAAAAAAATTCATGAATAATCGAATTAAAAGCCATTAATAGAGCGAGTAAAGACGGCAGCGTTTTCATTTTATCAATCGATTTGGAGAAAAATTAAGTACAATACAGAACTGCATCAAGGGTTGAATGTGACGTTCTAAAACGATGTTGCTAAACTAGTTAGATAACAGGCATTTGTTGATTTTTCAGATTAATCGCTTTTCTAATATTGTTGAGGGTGCGCCTATTATGTATATTGGTCTATAAATCTCCGCTACTTCTGGGTCATTTCTCGAATATTGGAGAAATAGTGGCTTCTTTTTTTAAAGTTTCATTTGAAACAAATCATGTCTTATGTGCTCGTTCTAACATAAATATGCCTTCTCAGTAGTGCGAAACATATTTTGGATCGTATCAAATTAATTGTGTAGCAGTATCATTCTTTTCGTTTTTCGCTTAATTGTTTAGCTAGCTTCTGGACAGTTTTAGCAAAGCCGGGCGCTGTTTCTCCAGTGCATGCATAAATTAGTGCCACAAAGCTGCTGTGAACATTGAGGATACTTTGTTGGTATTTAAGACTTTTCACGCTTCCATGATATTTGTAAGCATCAGATTTAGTTTTTGGCCATAGCAGAAGACTTGAGTTGTTTGAGACTGCATGCAAGGTATTCGCCATACCAATGGAAGTCAGGCACGTGTGGAGCCGCATAGGTTCTTTCCGTGGTTTCGAGCGACGTTGACGTCTTGGCTGTACATGGTGACGAAAGATCACATGAAGAGATATCAAAAGGAATATCGACAGTTCCTGGCAGAAATAGGACCGGAAGCCTTCAAGAGACCTCTGCTGACCCATCGAAATGCGATCACGAGGTTGGAAAAGAGTCGGTAGGGTGTCTAGAGACAATACCAAAGCAAGAGAATCGATACTGGAGGAGGAATTCGCGAAGAACGTGAGCTTGAGCCTGCACAATTCCTTTTGCTTGAACAGGGAATTGAAAGTGAAAGGTTTACCAAATCAGGCAATGAGGTTGCAGGAGCAGAAGGAGTGGATGCGATCCTTCGAGCAATTGAAAGCGTGGGAAGAGATCGTGATCAGCTCTGATGATGAGGAAGCGCTGCTAAGGCAGATCACGGTGTCAAACTCATCGGGGCCTAGCACTTCGAAGGCTAGGAATACGAAGTGAGCAGGGAGCTCAGTGTGGGTTTCTTGAGTCTTGAGAGGGAAGGAAAGGGGCTCGAGTGTGAACTCGGATGGAATCCGAGGTCACGAAAAAGAAACTTTAACGAAACAAAGTATTGTTATTAATATGCTATGATTATTATATAAATCAAAATGCCGCATGACAATTTTCTGATTGGATAAGACAAAAGAAATTTTAATCATTAGCTTCAAAAGCGGAAATTTAAGGTGCAGGTATATGAAAATTTTGATTGCTGTTCAGCGATAGTGTGACAATTTTACATGGTTGTGAATTTTGAGGTGTAGATAAACTTAAGTCTGCTGCAAACTTCTGTAAATGACCACTGGCACTGTATCTTGAGCTACACTCAGAATTCTGGAGATTCACTGGCAGACGGCAACACGCGATGAGGACATCGATCTTGAGTCCGGGGAGTATGTGCCAGTCGGTCATATTTGGAAGTTTGACCTTGAGCAATGCGAATGACATGATTTTGGGGTCAAATGGAATTTTTCAAAAATTCGAATTGGACATGTCATGCTCAAGTTTCTCGCGACAACTGAAAACATCAGAAAAATAAGATCAGAACAACCGATTTACAATCGCGGGAAAGTACTTGAAAAAAGCAGCGGGAAAATGCTATTCGCAATTTCCAGATATAAATCAAACGCGAGTAGAGCTGTCCTATCCTGAAATAGGAGAAGAAGCGATTACAAAAGAAGAACATATTTATTCGAGGTGAACCAGAGTGAACCCACAGTGGAAAGGTGGACAGCTGGGGTGTCCCAATGGTCCAGTTCCAAAACTTAATTCTCGAGTCAAAACTTATTTCCCTTGCTGGAATTCATTAATAGCAAACTTCTCAAGTTATTATACTTAATGTTAGAGTTACTGATTAATTTAGTTATCCCAATTCTCGAGTGTGCCAATATGTGAGTACTCAATTTAGTTTTCTTGAGTGTGTTTTATGATTGTTATGTTGAGGTAAGGAGAGTTTTAGATTGATCCATCTGAAATGGATCAAAGTTTCACTGTCTAATAAAAAGTAACTGTACGGATTGTTCCGACCCTGTTTTTAACGGCGTTCGTGTATTTTGAGACCTGAGTATGTGGACGTTCTTATTTTCTAGAGTGGGGGGGGGGCTATTTTGGTAGTGGCCTTTAAGCTGTAACGGGTTTTTAGTCTCATGTCGCAAGTGAACCGAATTGGCTCCGACCGTTCGAGGTAGAAAAACACAAGAGATAGTGTCCCTGACTCTTGAGCCAATGATTATAGGGCCTATTTTTCTTTAACCTCATATGTGACCGAAGTAGGCGACTGTTACAGGTAGAAAACTTAGGATACAAATTATTCCTTACTTAACTAAAGAAAAATAATGAGAAAACCAATTACCAAAGTTGCAACCGTTAAAAGTCCAAACACAAACTGGATCCACTGTAGTCTTACCTCTTCTTGAGCATGAAGATACTCATTCTGCAAGTTTCTCTGCTCATCCTTGATATATTCCTCTTGCACGTTCAGAAACTCGAGTTGCTTTTGCAGTTTCTTGTACTTGATGTAGAGATCGTCGTCGTGAGAGGAATCAGTATATGCGTAGCCAATGTCAGTAATGGCTGTGCTGGGTCGCGTTATGGTTGGATCGACCGGTGCTTGTGTCTCCGTTATTCCAATTTCTTCCATGTTGACTAATTAGCTAGATTTTAGTACAGATAATCTAAAACATGACAACAACAAAATCATTTATCTCCTTGGCATTTTTTTGAAAATTTCGAGTTAATCAAAGATTAAAAACACCAGCGCAACAAAAAATGCCGTCTAGATGATGGAAAGTAACCATGAACCAAATTGCGGTCGGCGAAGTGCTCCGAAGGCTCACTGCTAAATGCCTTGCTAAAGCCGCCAACGCTGAAGCTCGTGATTTTCTGTGTCCTCACCAGCTTCGAGTCGCTACCAGCGGTGGCTCGGAAGCCATCGTCCACGCTACTAAAATGACAGTCAAAAAGTGCTCGGAACATGGTCACCAAGGCGTCTTAACAGTGGATTTTGAGAATGCTTTCAACACGCTAGACCGCACCGAGATCCTCCTTCAAGTTCGCAACCGTCTTCCCGGTCTCTCCGCCTTTGTTGAGTTTACCTACGGTCACCACAGTCATCTGCTGTTCGAGGATGTCATTCTCAACAGCGAGAAAGGAGTTCAACAGGGGGATCCGCTAGGGTCTCTCATTTTCGCGGTCACCCTGCACTCTAGTCGAATCTCTCAAGTCGGAAGTCCCCGGTCTCACCCTCAACTGCTGGTACCTTGATGATGGGATTTGTGCCGGCGACGAAGACTCCTTGCTCAAGGCTCTCGAACTCATCACTTCCAACGGCTTGCATCTCGGCCTCAAAGTCAAGCACAGTAAGTGTGAGTTGTGGGCCCCTGTGGAGTTCTCCTCCATCCCCGTCTCTATCCCGAGAGCAGCGTCTAATGGCTTCGAGCTTCTTGGCGCCCCCATTGGTGATACTGAGTTCTCAGTTAAAGTCCTGGACAAACGCATCTCGAAGGCCACCAAATGTCTTGAAAAGTTACCTCTTCTTGATGACCCCCAGCTCTCACTTGGCATCACTCGCACTTGCCTTGCTGCTCCCAAGCTGACGTACTCTCTTCGCTCTCAGCCGCCCTCTCAGCCTGTCGCAGCTTCCCTGCAAGTTTTTGATGAACTCCTCCGCGATGCTCTTTCTGTCATAGTTGGCTCACCTGTTCCTGATCTTGCCTGGTCCCAGTCTTCCCTGCCTATCAAAGATGGCGGACTTGGCGTCCGACAAGCTCGCGACCAACACATCCCTGCCTTCCTAGGGTCTTCGTGTCAGTCAGCTCATTTGGTCTCGTTTCTTACCGAATGCGACATCACTGATACGCCGGAGTTCTGTGCCAGTCGGTCATATTTGGAAGTTTGACCTTGAGAGAAGCAAAAAACACTTGATTTTGGAGTGAAATTTAATTTTTCAAAATTTCGAATGGAACCTGTCATGCACGATTTTCTCGCGATAACTGAAAATCAGAAAAAAGAAATCAGAACAATTTCAGAACAATTGAGACACACACGCGGGAAAGTTGTAAGAAAAAGCAGTAGGAAATTGCTATTCGCAATTTCCATCACTATCATAATCGATCATAATCGAGAGTAGAGCTGTCCCATCTGTGACAGAGACGAGAGCATTCCCTCGAATTGGATTATAACGACTGGAGTATTATTCGGAACTGGACTAGAGTGAACCTTCGGTGGAAAGGTGGACAGCTTGAGTGTCCTAATGGTTCACAAGGAAACTATTGTCTAGAGTATAAACTCGTTCCTATTGTCAAAACTATAAAACATTAGACTCATTTAGTTACGTTATTTAATTCTTGAGTTAACTACCGACTGGATTATTTCCCACTTCTTGAGCGTGCTACTATGTGAGTACAAATTTAAATTCCTAGAGTGTGTTTTATAATTGTTATGTTGAGGTAAGGCGAGTTTTAGGTTGATCCACCTGAAATGGATCAAAGTTCCACTGTCTAATAAAAAGTAACTTAACGGATTGTTCCAACCCGGTTTTTAACGGCGTTCATGTATTTTGGGTATCTAGAGACCTAAGTATGGGGACGTTTCTAATTCTAGAGTGGGGGGATATTTTAGTAGTAGCCTTTAAGCTGTAACGGGTCGTAGTCTCATGTCACAAACGAACTGAACTGGCTCCGACCGTTCTTGAGGTAGAAAAACACAAGAGATGGTGTCCCTGACCCTTGAGCCAGTGGTTATAGGGCCTATTTTTCTTAAGCCTCATGTGTGACTGCAGTAGACGAATGTTACATAGTGTTTTTATGGCGCTCCTGGGTGTTTACGACATCAAGACTACGGAGTCAAACCCACTTGAGACAGCTTCGGGCTGAATGCCCATTCTAGAGTACCGGCGGTACGGTTCGACAGGAACGTGCAAACCTTCCGGTTGTACCGTGATAGCTTTTTAAGAAAACTCAAGAAAACTTCCTGGTACGCTCTCCGAACGAGGCTTAACTAACCGAGTAAAGGGGGGCAACTAGGGGGACAAAAACACGAGCAAAAAGACAAAAAGCAAAACAAAAACCATAAAACGAAAAAAGACAGTGACTTTGACACCAGACCAGTTGGATCAAACCTTTATATTAATTAAATAGTATACCCATACTGTTTTATAAGTTCGATCGTTTTGATCAACCTAGCAATTTAACCCAGTAACCGTAGTAAAGTGCCCGAGTGTGGGGCGTTGTCAAGGGTTTTCAGGTAGTTTGGAACTTAGCTGGACCAATAGGAGACTTCACTGGAAGAGGTGACCAGCTGAGTGGGAAAGTGGTTCAGGGACACTTGAGCTGAACCAATAGGAGACTTGACTGGAAGAGGTGACCAGCCGAGTGGGAAAGTGGTTCAGGGACACTTGAGCTGAACCAAAAGGAGACTGGACTGGAACAGGTGACCAGTCGAGTGGGAAAGCAGCCAAGAAGGATTTGGCAATTCTCGAGTTCTCAAATTGGGCAGAACGGGTATCGTTAAAATCCACATTACATTATAGGAGATAAGCGCAAAATAGGATAAGCGACATCCCCCGGTTTTGAGGAACGTTTTTACTTGAGCAGGCCTGGAGACAGGTCTACGGTTTTCTCTTGAGAGGTTTAGCACCCGGCGCTTAAGGTAATTTTAGGCTTAGGAAGGGGGGCTAAAAAGGGGGGAGGTTAGAAAGGGGGCTGGTTAAGTTAGAGGTTGGCGGTTGTAAATTGTAAAAAGAGAGAAACTAGAGTAACTAATTAATCGACATCGTCGACTTAGTTACATTAGCCACAACACGCGTTGGTGATAATAGGTGAATATCCAAAATTCAACTCGAGTTAAGACTGGTACGCTGGTTGGTTTGGTAGGGGGGACCGGATATAGACAGCTTTTGTGATACCCCATAAGATCACTAGTGGGGGGAGGAAAACGCGTGGCAATTAGGCACCAGACAATTTTTTTAGACGAAAGGTAGACATTGGTCACCTTTGAATTTCAGGTGGGCTCATTTTTCAGTTTTTATTATTTTTCTTACTTAGATTTTTGTTGCATTTTAGTGAGGATTTGTGTTTGGTTTTATACGAACAGGTGATCACAAGATACCTGCGCACCTACATTGAAATAGAAACAACCAAAAAGAAGAGGGGGGTCAGCATTTGGTTTTTAAGAGAGGGTTTTTGGGAAAATTTTACTAGAGCTTGAGTGGTGGTACAAGGTAGGGTGATTCACGAAGACCCTACAACGAGGAAGACACTCCGTGACGAGTCTTGGGACAGTACCGAAGAAGTCTTGGGACGGGGTCTTGGGACAGTGGTCTTGGGACAGGGTCTTGGGACAGTGGTCTTGGGACAGGGTCTTGGGACGGTGGTCTTGGGACAAGGGTCTTGGGACAAGAGTCTTGGGACAGGGTCTTGGGACAGGGTCTTGGGACAGTGGTCTTGGGACGGGGTCTTGGGACAGTGGTCTTGGGACAAGGGTCTTGGGACAGGGTCTTGGGACAGGGTCTTGGGACAGTGGTCTTGGGACAGGGTCTTGGGACAGGGTCTTGGGACAGGGGTCTTGGGACAGTGGTCTTGGGACAGGGTCTTGGGACAGCGGTCTTGGGACAGGGTCTTGGGACAGGGTCTTGGGACAGAGGTCTTGGGACACTGGTCTTGGGACAGTAGTCTTGGGACACCAGCCTTGGGACACTGGTCTTGGGACACTGCCCTTGGGACACTAGTCTTGGGACAGTAGTCTTGGGACACTAGCCTTGGGACACTAGTCTTGGGACAGTAGTCTTGGGACACTAGCCTTGGGACACTGGTCTTGGGACACTACCCTTGGGACACTAGTCTTGGGACAGTAGTCTTGGGACACTAGCCTTGGGACACTAGTCTTGGGACAGTAGCCTTGGGACACTAGTCTTGGGACAGTAGTCTTGGAACAGTGGCCTTGGTACAAGGGTCTTAGGACACTAGCGGAGAGTACTGGGATAGTGACGAATAGTCTTGGGACGGTATAAAAATTGAAGTAAAATTACAACAAGTGTGTTTTAAGACAGAATAAGACAATCGAAATAGGTACGGTTAAGACCACATTAAGGGAAATTTTTCGAAGGTTTTAGAAAGAGAACTGGAACAAGGTTTTTAACACGTTGTACAAAATTTGTTACCACAAAAAATTTTTTTTTATTTATTATTTTTTACTCTTAGAATAGAATCGTGTATATAATAAAATTGTAAATAAAAGCAGTTGTAAATAGAAATAATGAGGCGGAGTAGGGTACCGGTGCTCGAAAAAAGGTCAAGTGGATCAAACACGAAATATAATTCATCGCTGCGCGGAACAACATCAACGGGCCCAAAGATAACAAAGAAGAACTTTTCAGTTAACATGGTCAGCACAAGGAGTACAGCGGAGAACAGGGCGAAAGAGGGCACGGAAGGGGAGCGAGTAGAACCCACCATCGAGATTGATCTAGAGACACCCGATCAAAGTGTGGATGAAACAAGGAAGATGGCGACAGAGTCAACTCCAATGCCCAATGCAGAGGAACCGAACCAGAAACCCATAGAGTTCTCACCGATAGATGACGCGGAAGATGCAATAGGCAACACCGAAGAAACGGTGAAAGAAGACTCTCAAGTAAAGAGGACATCTTTTACGGAAAAACTGGGAATAATGT